AACTAACAATTACAATTAAACTAAAGAAATAATCAGCCTTAACCTCGTTAAGCAGAGTCCAAGACAAGCAAGGAATCACGTTAAGCAATCCTTAAGACTGTTAGTTAGGTGTTCTCCGGAAAAGAACCCACCTTTGACCGTGGGTTGCCCAAAACGTCAATGATGAGGAGGAGAAAGTAGAAACTGATTTGAACCCCGAAAGGATGCCATTATTGCAATCTTGATGGATAAACATTCACAAAACCCAAATAATCACCAGCTTACAGGCTGAAGTGGGTTGTTAAGGCCCAAATCGATATTAGACTCTAAAGTGTCAAGTCCGATAGCTCCATGTGTTTCGTGGATTGAAGATGGATTTGATTTAATTGTTGAGAGTGATTAATAATTAATAAAATAATTAGTATTTATTATATAATAAATTTTAAAAAAATTTACATTAATATTATAGATATTACAATTATTTATTTAAAAAATTATAAATTTTAATTAAATTTTAGGGCAGAAAGTGCAATTCAACCCTTGTACTTGCAATATTGTGGCAGATTAGCTCCTGTACTAGAAACATTGGCAAATCAACTCCTCTACTGCATGAAATCCACAAATCACCCTTTCTGTTAAGGATGACGTTAGAAAACGTCATCTTTCTGTTGGATTTTTGTGGCCCGTTTACAAAAGATGATGATTGGACAATGACATGGCATTGACTTAACAAAAAACCACTTAACTTGGGGAAAAAAAAATTTTTTGAGATTTTTTTTTTCACTCATACATATTTAAACAAAGTGATTTTTTTAACTTGTGCTTTAAAAGGACAAGTTATACCTTATTTATTATAATATTTATAATTAATTTAATTTAATTTTTAATCAAACAAACTCAAAATCTAATTAAATTTTAACAAGCCAACTATGATCTTATTTTTTTTATGTTAATTATACAATAAAAAATAATTTTCTCATATCTTTTACCCTCTTACTTTACGTAACTTAAACAGATTAAAAAAAGATTAATACTGATTTATTTAATCAGTTTTAAATTTTTTTTATTGCATATGTTTTTGAACCCTACCTGGACGCCGTATTCTAGAATAAAAATTAATTGTGAAATCCAAGTAAGGAATTCTCAGTGTCACTCCCCAAAATCTCCAGAAGCCGTGC